TCAGTCCTACAGTAGCAGCAGTTTGGGAGGAGAGACACAGGTTATATAATTTCCTAGCGTACATCAGTGAAAGAGGAAAAGAAGGTAGTGGAAAATGGCAAGACTGCTGCCATGGCTGCAGCAGCAGTACCACACAGGCGCCCAGATTCTGAGTGGTCAATGGAATATGGCAGAAGCACGGGTAACAACTAGTCAATTGCTGCCATCGGGTTCCAATGACTTCTTGGAAGTAGTGCATCTACACAGTGCTACAGCCATGGTCCTAGGAGCACCATCACCTGGTATCTGTTGGTAAGGGTACCCTCTCCCCCTCTCTCTTAACAGTGGTAGAGGCTGAGATATTCCTTCAACCCCAACTCATAAGCTGCTGGTGGCCAGCTCTCACTGTCCCACACTGGCTCACTCAACAGGACCATTCCCATGGGGAGGAAGCCAAAACATGCCAAAGACCCAGTACAGACAAGCTCTGCTGATTTCAGAAGCTTACAATTACAGCCCACTTCCAGGCAGAGTGGCTGAAGTATTAACTCTGGTGCAAGAGGCAACATACGTGAATGGAATCCAAACCCCAGTCAGCAGGTACTTCCTCAACATCTATCAGCTTCCCCCCCCCCCAAAAAAAGAGAATGAATTCAGCTTCCAAATGAGAACCGAAAATAACTTGCATACTAAAAATGACAGAACTGTATTTACAACTCAAATGATAACATCGCAGGCATGCCAAGGAGACTGAAGCAGCATTTGCCTTTATTCTCCCCAGACAGGTGCTTATTATGCGTTTCTTGATCTCTCTCTCTTTATAATTCCTACCACACTCTGAGACACATGCTAGACAGTAGCAATGGGATTTGGGCACCTGCAGTAAACTAAAGAGGCTCCCCCAAGCCTGTGAACAGGAGCGACTCCAGAACTTCCTTAGGCAGCCACTCTCTTTTAATTGCTCCCTATAGCATGGAGTAATTAGGGAAGAAAGACTCAGGCAGGAACCCTTTGAAGTTATCCTGTCCAACTCTCCTTCTGCCTAGGGTTTCATAGCACTCTGTTCAGAGATGGAAGAAACAAGAGAGGCAGGTTTATGGCATATACCACACTTGTGGGTTGCTATGTTAACTACATACACACTTGCCAATCTCTGCAAAATCAAAATCTCAAATTTAGACTCCTCCCTATACCCCAAGCAATAGCAGGAACTTTGCATCCCTGCTGAAAATTATACTTTATTTATGCATTTTTAGCCCGAAGTGACTTACACACACACAAAAAGAGGGGAATCCAAATTACAAACACAAAACAAAACAAAAATCTGGGCTGGTCCAGCTCTCCCAAGCTGCCTACTGCAAACCCTAAACAGTGAGTCATGAGCCAAGAGCACTTTTGGCTACTGCCCCTCAGCTCATGTCTCTGGCCCCACCCCGGATAAAAACCTGCAGAAAGGCCACCTAGGTGGACCTCAGGTGCTGCTACCTTGCTGCCAGCAAGTCAGCAGGATCTTCATTTTTCCTCCCTGAAAATAGTGCAAAAAACTAGGTCAGACATATTACATATCTATGAATATGGCTTGATTCAGACCTAGCATGAAACCATTGTTAGTATAATTTACTTATGGTTACTGGATTGTTTGAATTCAGCACTCTAACTGCAGTTAGTTTGGCTTTCTTAAACCAGGATCTGGTCAGGATCCAACATCGGTTCAGCAACTGCATTTTCACATTATGCAGAATAGGGAATCCTGGCAATCCTACTTTCCTACTTTTCATGCTCCCCCAGCAACAGAGATGCCTGGCAAGACAAGCTGCAAATCAAAATCATGAGCAGCTGCTCATGGAACGCAACACTTCGAAGGGGGAGTCTCTTATCCATGTTCCTCTGAAAAGCTGCAGGAATGCTGACCTGCTCCATCCAAGGCACAGCTAAAAGCATCCTTCTGTCCCAAGGACCCGCACACACCCATTCTCCTGGCAGTCAGAGAGACTTCAAAGACAGTGCCTCTGCAATGCCAATGCAGGCAGAAGTGGCAATCATGTATGTGGTGTGGTGAGCCTTCTCCTGCCATCTGTGAAGCAAGTCACTCCCCAGACCTGGCTCACTGCTGCCAAAATAAACATCACACCCTAGCAGTAACACCACAGAGACAGGATGATGACACTGAGGCAAAGATCAGTAATTCTAAAAAGGTAAAGGTTCCCTTGCTCGAAAGCCAGTCGAATCCGACTGTAGGGTTGCGGTGTTCATCTCCGTTTCAAAGCCGAAGAGCCAGCACTGTCCGAAGACGTTTCCATGGTCATGTGGCCGGCATGACTAAACGCCAAGGCGCACGGAACGCTGTTACCTTCCCACCAAAGTGGTACCTATTTATCTACTTGCAATGTCTTCCTTTCGAACTGCTAGGTTGGCAAGAGCTGGAACTAGAGACGGGAGCTCACTCTGTCTTGCGGCACCCGGGTCTCGAACTGCTGAACTACTGACCTTCCACAGCCTGCAGTAATTCAGTAGATCAGTAATTCTACTCAGTAATAAAAACAGGTTTACAAAATTAAAAACTAGATATATATCTCTATTTTTATATGAAACAGTTATTGTATTTATTAGATTTTTCTGTACTGCTTTTATTAAGAACAATTTTAGTAAGTCACATGCTTACAAGCTTAGTAAGCTACATGATGCTGCATACGGGCCTTTTCTGGAAACAAAGCCTCTACCCAGACCTCAAACAATGAGATGTTCATAAGGAGAGATGTTCTCTTCAGCAGGCTGGCTGCAGGCTGCTTATGGATTTAAAGGTCTACACTGCGCCTTGAAATGGTCTAAGAAGCATATTATTGCTAGTGCAATTTAAGATCACTGTTGCAATTATTCTGGTGACACAGCTATAAAAGAAGCCACACAAATCCTGTTTCTTCAAGCGGTAGCAAAAAACGACAATAGTAAGAGAAAGTGGTTGTGACTAAGGATGGGCACAAACAGCATTTTTGTGGTTCAGTTCCTGGTTCATAGCTGAACCACAAACCGAACCACAAACCTATACAAACCAGGAGGTGGGTTCGCAACCTAAACCAGTTCATACGGGTTTGTGACCCCTACTTTCTGCTCCTTGCCACTTTTTACTGGATGCCCAAGAAAGCCCCTTTAAAAAGCTGAGCCACATGGAAGCACCTTTAAAAAGCTGAGCCACATGCGGCTCAGCTGTTTAAAAGGGCTTTCTTGGGTTCAGCTCCAGAAAGCCATGGGGAGCAGAAAGCAGTGGTTTAAATGGCTTGGAGTTGAACCCAAGAAAGCCCCCTTAAAGAGATGAGCTGCGTGGAATGATCCCCAGGGGCTGGGTGCCCAAGAAAGCATCTTTAAACAGCTGAGCTGTGGGACCAGGCTGCTCCTGTGGCTCAGCTCTTTCCCATCTAAACTGTGGCTAAGCTGTTTCCCCACAAACCTCTACAAAACCTCCTTAAAAGTTTGTGGAGGCTTGTGGCTAGACTGCAGTTCACGAACCATGAACTGGCTAAAATTTGTCATGAACAATGGTTCACGAGCGGTTCATGCCCATCCCTACTTGTGACCACAGTTTGCTATCTGTGCATCCAGCACCCGATCAGGATACAGGGAGCTATCCGAGCTGTAGATTTTTCATCAAAAGCTGACATCTGAGCATACATGACAGCATATGCACACAGCTGTTTATTCTGAGGCAGATCAGTGGCCTATCAAGGTCAGTATTGTCTACTCTGACTGGCTGTGGCTCTCCAGGGTCTCTGGCAAGGTCTTTCACAACACCTACTACCTAATCCTTTTATCTGGTGATGACGAAGACTGAATCCAAGACACTCTCCATAAAAAGCAGATGCTTTTCTCCATTACCAGTACAAACTATACATAAATGCTACTAACCTAACAGCACAGCCAGTTTTAGAATTCACTACTGTTTTTTAATAATCTTGTAACTAAAAATTCAATGCTACATCCACTACCGGAACATTTATAAAATGTTTCTCAACTTAAACCGCCCATTCTTGTATTCATTCCTTGTATTTACTTAATATTTTGCTCTTTTACTCAAACAGCAGTCAAGGCAGTTTACAAAAATAATAAACACAATAAAATAGCATAAATAAAAAGCAAAACTTTAGCTCTGTCAATAGACTTTTGAGAGATGACTTACTCAGCCCTCCTCAAAGGCCCTCCAGAGAAGAACCATCTTAAACTGATCTCCAGAAGGTCATCAACAAAGGGGCCATTCAAGTCTCCAAGAGGGAGTTACAAAAATATAAATACTACAAGATATTACCAAATTCATGTCATCCACAAATTTAGCCACTTCACTGCTTACTTCCAACTCCAAATCATTAATGAACAAGTTAAAAAGCATCGGACCCAGTACTGATCCCTGCAGTACTTACCACCCTCCACTGAGAAAATTGCCCATTTATACTCACTCTCTGTTTCCTATTAATTAGCCAGTTTTTGATCCACAAGAGGACTTGTCCTTTTATCCCATGACATTGCAGAAGACACTCTAAAGATTGCAGGTCCTATTATCTAAGAAAGACTTGCAATGTGCCACAGGATTCCTTAGCTGGGTCAACTATGCAGTGTCTTCCAAGTGGAGACACAGGTACCAAATTGTATCTAATGTCTACCTCTTCTGAAAAAGGCAGAAGCACTCATCAATGTTGGCACAAGAGCATGGACAGCTGTTTCTCCCTTCTCCTGGAAGCCTCACAAGAAGGAACACAAAGGACCTATGCTCCACCTACACTATGTTCAGTCCTGGAAGCAGTGCACATGGGGTTGCCTTCTTCTTTTCTTCAACTGTGAAAAGCCTGCTAACTTGTTGCAGCTATGAGGAACATTCCTAACATACATATAAGCCTCAGAATTATCATTTTGATCTCCCTAGACAGACCAGTCACAACTGCTCTAAGGAAGGTAAATATAGGCAAATTGACACCCAGCACCATATAGTCAAAGCTACAATACTATAGCACAACTGGAAATAGCCTTGGGCCTACCTGAATGGCTTCTGTGGTGTGATGAGGCCAGCGTCAGCCTTCCCCATAGCGTTATAAGGCAGAGAGAAAGCACCAATACCCCTTTGCTCAAGCTTCGGATATCCCTCTCACTCATTCTGCCATGGAAGGACAAAAGAAACCACTTAAAATTCAAATGACAGAGACGGAGAGCCTGAGGGCCACCATCCTAAAAGAAACAGCTGCAACTTGACCTCAGGCAGACTAGATGAAGTTATTCTTTTCAGAAGTTGTAAAATGGATTGTTTCAGTATTTCTGAACTACAAAATTTGACAAAAATAGTAATCTACACATTTGTTTAAAATGTGGTGCTACCTAAAGCCATGTATTTCTAAGAAAAAATAATATATTCTCTGTGCATAGTCTACAGCACATCGTCAGGCCCACAGCTACAGTGGGGCATCTAGGGGCCTAGTCTCCCAACTTATTGCCAAGCCCCCCCCAACTTCCCATCGAGCTCAGGACCCCCGACTTCTAATTTTTAAAATTTTATTTGTGGCACTCCCTTGGTGGGGTGTGCAGGGTGCCCCCCAACATATTTTAACCCCCCAAAAAAAAAAATTAAAAAAATACTGGCTACAGGCCTGCACATTGTACTCTTCAGCTGGGTTGGGCATTTACCGAGCAATTACAGGAAAATAATGCTGAGCAAGTGCCATGATAATACCCTGTCCTTGAACACAGCAAACAGTATTAAAGCTGTGAGTACCACTTCTTTGAGTTGCAGTTTATAAAGAGTTGAAAAGAACAGGCAGATCTAGGCAACCACTACAGATATATGCTGTTTAAATTTCCAAATAACTAGTTTGCTCCTGTTGTATCAGGCCTTGTGGGTTTTCTCTTTCTGCTGCCAGGTTCAGTACCAATTTTACAAAAAAAACTCCCCACTAGCTTCACCAGGGAAGAAATCTAATGTTTTGCAAAAGCAGTAAAGTAAAAATTCAGTCCATAAATAAAAAATTAGGCCTCAGAAAGGGAGTGGGTGGGGAGAAGAGATAATGGTTTAAAGACAACCTGGCATTTGAAATCCTTTCCCATTTCATCTATGGATGTGTTCACCAGTTTAAAAATAGTCCCTTTTGCCAAGACTCATACAGCTTTCTCACAGCAACACTTCTTGTGAAGGCAGGAAAAGGCCCATCATTCCAAAAAACAATTAAGCAATTTTATTTACCTCCTACTAGGGCTTCACAGCTACTGTCTGTGCATTTGCCAACCTCAGGTAGACTTGGTATTTGTGAAGAGGGGAAAACATCAGTGCATCTGAAAGTGAAGAAAGAAAACAGCTATTTAGGTGTTTCCCTGGACAGAACCTGCGAAAATTACTGCTCCAGATTGCTAGGGACTTGGGGATCCCCTGGAATTACAGCTTACCTCCAGACTACAAAGATCAGTTCTAGGGTTGCCAGCCTCCAGGTGGGGCCTGGAGATCCACCGCTTTTACAACTGATCTCCTGCTGACAGAGATCAGCTCCCCTGGAGAAAAATGGCTGCTTTGAAGGGTGGTCTCTATGGCACTATACCATCCTGAGGCCCCTCCCCTCCCCAAAACCCACCCTCTCCTGGATCCACCCCCAAAGTCTCCAGGTATTTTCCAACCCAGCCCTGGCAACCCTAATCAGTTCCCCTGGAGAAAATGAATACTTTGGAGGGTGGATTCTATGGCACTGTACCCCACTGAGGTCCCTGTCCTCCCCAGTTACCACCCCAAATCTCCAGGTGTTTCCCAAGTTGGATATGGCAACCCTATCCCCCATCCCCTGCCTGTGACCAGGGGGGACCTGGCAACCCATTACTTCTGGACTATGAAATAATCCATAGTTTAAACATACAGTGGTCTTCTTTTTACACACAGCCCCCCCCCCCCCCAAAAATTTAACTATACATTCTCTGGCAGTACTAAGAAATGTAGGACGGTTAAAAAAAACTGGGAATAATCTGCTGGGAGAAGCAGTCACACAATTGCTCCACCGTGCTTAGGAACTCAGTACAGGACCACTTCAAACAGTATGTTGCCACAACCCCAGGATCCTCTGAATTGCTCCCAAAGAACAGGGAGTGACGATGTATTCCAGGCAAGGAAGTAAGGCTCTCCACAGCACCCTGACATTGCAGAGCAACCTCCCACTGGAGCTCTCTGCTACCATTTCAAAAAGACCATAAAACTTCATTTTGATTAGGCTTTTGTATTCTTCCTGGAGGAGCTAATTTTTGGGGGGTGGGAGGGTGGTTCTTTCCCCCCGCCTGACTCTTTATAATTAGTGTATACAGTGTGGTGACTGACAACTACCATTTTGGATTTTGCATTATTACACACTGTGTTCCTCTTCACTGTTCTCTACTTTTCCAAGAAAGACACTTCTAGGGCAGCTCACAACAGATATAACAAATGTAAACCATAAAAGCTAACGTTAAAGAAGATGATTTTAAAGTCTCCCATTCATCCCCAAATCCAAGCTTATGTGGTACAAGTCCTTCTGCAAAGGAAGTCAAAGGGAGTAATGCAGTGCAGCTCACAGTAACGTTTGGGAAACGTTGGATTGTTTGAGAGACAAGCAGCAAAATTAGTAACAGCTACTGAAAGGTACATTTCTAAATGGGGAGAAAGAAAAGGTCACGTGTTTAGCTTCTGACACTAGAGTCATTTGAGTGCTGACCTGTCATGTATTGAAGCATAAGTAAATAAAATGGCCTGTCTGTATAATAGGCGGTATTTCCATTCAATAAAGCATCTTCCTCAAGTTTTGGTCACTGCCTGATATTCTTCTGTTGGGAGGCACAGGTTAGCATAGCCCCACTGGCTGCAAAGAAGTGGTAAAATGTGGTAACAGAGGCCTTGCTATTTTTTTAGGTGTTTTAAGGAGGCATACTGAACAAGGTGGAAGGGGGATTGCAGCAGCAAGCTCCACATTAATTAATCTATTCACCTTAAATGGAATGCCTGTATAAAACCCAGTGGTACTCTCTAGCATGATTCACTACCAAAAAAAATTAAGAGAACCACTCCCTTTGGGCTACTCTACCATTCCTCTTCCAATATCATCTATCTAGGAACTGACTGAAATTCTTGTCTCAGATTATATGGATTGGTTATTTTCCAGCAAGTCAGTATCTCCTGACATCCCTTTTATGCATAGAAGCTATGGTCTTCTCACATAATTTGGATGTTGCACTTGAAATTTCTAATTGTCAAAATTATATTTTCTAATCAGCATTCAGGTGGTATGGGCAGCCTTAGTTTTCCATACCTTCTATGCATAAGAAGAGAATGATGCCAAGAGACATCGACTTGCTGAAAGCCAATATCAGAGAAATGGGACAACAAAGTATTAAACCCAGATTCTATTATGTTGAACTCCTGGGTAATCTTAATTCTAATGTGGTTGTGAGATGGTCTGGCAAGTACTGGCAGCGATTACTGGCACAGGTAGGCCAATCACAGAACAAACGGTACAGCTGCAGAGTGTGCCAGCAGGCATGGGGAGGAAGAAGCCAAGCATCTTGCTGCTAGGCACTTTTCCCAAGTACTTTCTAAACCCTGCAAAACAACTGGCCAAGGACTTCAGATGCATCAAGAGTAAGAAAGGCTGGCTGCAGCAGCTAAATGGATTTCTGAGTAGATCTGGAAAGCTAGGCTGGAATCATGGCCAAAATTCAACGGCCACAGGGAAAAGGGGGGCTGGGCTACTGTCCAAAGCACAAAAGCTTATTCAAACTCTAATCATTATTGACTGATACACTATTCAGAATTGTATTTCCTGGAGTTCATGCACAAACCCTTTCATAATTCATTTATTTTGGCCCTTTCACCAGAAAATACAAAGGACAGCAAGCAAAGAGGAAGAAAACGGCCTTGCCAATGCAAGCTCAATTTAGCAGGGATGCGGAAAGGAGATGACAACTCCACAGCCTTGTTTATCACCTCCTGGGAACTAACAGGTCCAGAGTGAACAACCAGAGAAGCAGTAAAACTTTAGTGCACAATCAGAATTTATTAACAGTAAGCTGAAGAGTGAGTGCACTTTGTTGGCAGAGAAGCACAGCCTCAGCCGGACACAGCCTGCTAGGTCACAATGGCTCCTGGTCAAAATTAACATTTGATTTCTACTGAAATCCAACACTACTCTAAATTATATTAAAAGTGTTTTGCACCTGCAAATTCCCTCATGGCTTTCAAGTGGCTATCCCTCTTCTCCTCCACTCTCCATCCAATGAGGGGAAACTCCACAAGGTACTTTCCTTAGTGGTCTAGAGCCTGCAAGGGTGGTGTGAGGGGGGGGGACGACAGCTTTGTCTTCATGCCTATTTCCCAAAGCAGATCCTGAATGTGTTGAGAGTTCTAAATTGAATCACAAATACTGTGTACATTCTCTCACTGCCATCTGGAAACTGTAGTACAATCTACTAAGATTTCAGCATGTGTCAACATTGTAACTGCTCCAGACTGATGAATGCTGTTGTTGACTATGCAGGCATAAGAACAGCATGTATATTTGCATATTGTGATACCACATTACTGGCCAAAAATAGCGCAGACTTGAAACTACTAACTTTCATTGGTAAAGTGCCAAAGCAGGATTACAAGCTGAACATCAAGAAGACAGAAGTCATGATTACTGGAAAATTATACAACTTTAAGGCTGACAATGAAGAAATTGAAATTGTTAAAGATTCTCTATTCCTTGGCTCAACCATCAACCAAAAGAGAAACTGCAACCAAGAAACTAGGAGACTGAGATTGGTAAGGAGCTAGAAAAGATCCTTAAGTGTAAGATGTGTCACTGATGACCAAGATCAAGTTAATTCATACCATAGTATTCCCTATTACTATATATGGCTGTGAAAATTGGACAATGAAGAAAGCTGCCAGGAAGAAAGTTGGTTCATTTGAAATGTGGTGTTGGGGAGACAAGCAAGTGGGTTCAAATCAAGCCTGAACTCTCCCTACAAGCTAAAATGACTAAACAGAGGATATCATAATTTGGTCACAGTATAAGAAGACAAGATTCACTGGAAAAGACAATAATGATAGAAAAAGTTGAAGGCAGCAGGAAAAGAAGACTCAACATGAGATGGACTGATTCAGTAAAGAATGCCACAACCCTCAGTTTGCAAGATCTGAGCAGGGCTATTAATGATGGAACATTTTGGAAGTCATTCATTCACAGGGTCTTCATAAGTGGGAAGCAACCTGATGGCAATACACATACGTATTTGAAATATAACTGATTTAAACAATAATGCATGTCATGTCCATGTCACATATTCACTGCCACAGGAAGTTGTGGTGGCTACAAGCACAGACAGCTTCAAGGGGGGGATTAGATAAACATATGGAGCAGAGGTCCTTCAGTGGCTATTAGCCACAAGGTACAGAGGGAACACTCTGTCTGGGGCAGTGATACACTGTATTCTTGGTGCTTGGGGGACAACAGTGGGAGGGCTTCTGGAGTCTGTCCCTGCGGGTGGACCTCCTGATGGCACCTGGTTTATGGCCACTGGGTGACACACAGTGTTGGACTGGATGGGCCATTGGCTTGATCCAACACGACTTCTCTTATGTTGTTATGATAACCCTGAGGCACTCACAAACCCAGCAAGCAAGTAAACAATATGAACTAACAACAGCTACCTGGCTAACTGCCATGCAGCCACTGTGCATACACAAAACTACTCAATACAATTATAAAATGTTATCAATTAATCAGTGTGATCACATGAGATGCTAACCACAAGAGGAAATTTGAGGCACTATGCACAAAGTAAGCTTGATTTTTCTAAATGCTTTATCTGAATCAACAGAATCATCCCTGATTACAACATTAAGTAAAAGCAGTTACAGGGGCCTACTGAAGCCTGGCCAGCTCCAGTAAAACCTGTTTCTCCCTACAGCCGCGATCACACACACTAAATAATCCACTTTCAATCCACTTTCCAATTGGATTTTGCCAGTTCACACAGTAAAAACCAGTTGGAAAGTGCATTGAAAGTGGATTGAAAGTGGATTATTTAGTATGTGTGATAGCAGCCTACACTGGGTTTTCCATATTTCAGTCTCCAAAATCTGTTTCAAGCCAAGGTGAGAAAGGGAATGGGAGAACTACTTTAAAGTACTGAACTGAGACTCAAACAAGGACTTCTACCACTCCATGCTCAGACTGTTGCAGCCTGTACAAAACAGTAACATCTGCACTTCTGTTTCCATCTGGTCTGGGGTCAGCTGGCTGGCTTCCACCACAGGACTCAAGGAGCCAACAGTAAAG